AAACCCACCAGCCACTCCTCGGAAGGAAGGTTGGGCAATCCTACTTCCGTAGTGATACTGCCTCGGAAACCCAAGGAGGGGTCGCTATGAGTCGGGGCCGGCTCGACGGCACATAACAACAACTTTCTATTTAAGAGCAAGTTTCAGACTCATAGCAACCTCCATTGGGTTCCAAGGCTATAAATCTTTACAGAAGCAGATAGCCCAATCTTTCTTCCACAGAGCAGCTGATGGGTTCAAACCACTGACCTTTTGGTTAGCAGCCAAATGCCTCAATCACCACACCACTAGAGCACCTTCACTCCCATTAGTATGGCTATTATCAGTGAAATGGAAGGCAGCAAGTGTTGGCGAGAATGTGGAGAGACTGAGACCCTCATCCATTATTAGTGGGATTATAAAATGGTGTTGCCACTGGGGAAGACATCTTGGCACTTCCTCAGAAGGTTAAACACTGAACTACCATATGACTCAGCAATTCCACTCAAAGGGAGATACTTAGAAGACTGGGAAGCAGGGACACACACAGATACTTGTACACCAGTGTTCAATGCAGCAGTATTCACAACAGCCAGAAGGTTAAAACAACCCAAATGTCCAACAGCAGGTGAACGGATAAATAAAATGTGGCACATACATACAATGGAATATTACTCAACCATAAAGAGAAAATAAAGTCCTGATACATGCTATGACATGGATGAACCTTGAAAACATGCAGAGTGAAATAAATCAGACACAAAAGGACAACTACTCTCACTTACATGAAATATCTAGAACAGGCAAATGTATAGACTACAGTGTATTAGTGGTTACCAGGGGTAGGTGGGTAGAGGAAATGAGGAATTTCTGTTAAGGGTGATGAAAAATTTGGAAACAGTTGTAATGGTTGTACAACATGTACATGTTAAAAATGGTGAAACGGCAAATGTTTTGTTATACATATTTTTGCCACAATAAAAATAAATAAATAACTAGCAGGCTTAACAGCTGCTCAACAAGAAGAATTTAAAGTAAAAGCCAAAGTGGCTTATTTTTATGTAAGAAAAAGGTGGAGTCTTGTGTTCAGAGAGTAATTCCCAACAGTAGAGAAAAGGAAGGGACGCACACACCTGCTCCCCCGGGTATATCAGATCCCACACTGCTCTCTACGCTCTGCCTCAGAATCACGACCTCAGGAGTTCCCCCAACGGATGACGGCAGCTGTCTCCTCCCCAGGTATGCCGACGCACAAAAACATCCTGAGCTTTCAAAGACCAACAGCTTTCACTCCAATTTTCAATGGGGATAAGGAACATTCTTGGCTGGAGTCAAATTCTGGCAAAGCTTCTGAGCCCATAGTCCCCAGGGTACCAGTACCTTGGATAATTCTCTGCTGCTGTTGCCGGATTTCATCAAAACCTAAGCCTCTCGTCTCCTCTGGCTCCTCAAGGAGCCAAGGGTTGGGCGCTCCTCGCTTAGCCCCTCCAGTCATCAGGCTGGACCTAAGAATAATATTAAAGGTGTTACATATCACAAAAAATACAGCTCAGTTGCAAATTACTCCCACAAGTGCAGAAGTGGCCCGCCTCACAGGCTTTGGAAATTCAATTCAACCACAATTTACTGCATTTGTAGTTTACGCCAGGAACTCTGTCAATGCTGAAAGGGATACAAGGATGAATAAGGCACAAGCCTGGCCCCCTGGAGAGTTCTAGCCTGTTGAGGAGTCTATGGCAGCATCACAAGCTCTTACTAATCCTTACAGATATATTTGAGTCAAGCATTATGGAAGAGGTTGGTAAATTAGGGTCTTTAATTTCAAAAACACAAGGCCGAATGGAAGTGACCTTTTTATTAGGACAAAGTTTGTCTCATATGCCTCCATGCCACCGAAGGAAATAATATTATTTCTCAAGCAGATACAAAGTAGTGACTATAGATTCTAGCATACAAATGACCATATAATTTTATGTTTTGCATTAAAGGGTATTTGGTTGCTCAGAGACAGAGACATATGACATATGACATATGCAGGTTTCAAATAAAATTTTATGAATATAATGTAGCATTTATAACATAATGAACAATTCTGAATTGTCAATCTTAATCTTTATTTCCTCTAGTAACCCACATGCCCCTTTTATACCAGACATTAGTCTCTTCACTGATCGAGGAAGAGGGAATACACATTTTCTGCCTCAGTCTCCATGTTTACAGGAATCTTCTCATCTAAACTACCTCCTCTCCTCTCCCCACCTGCCTGGCACTTTCTGTTCCAGCTGCAAGGATGACCTTGTCCATTAAACTATCTCTCACTGCTTCAACCAAGCATGGACACTTCAGACATCTCATAGGATTCATAAAAATAACGACAGTGATGATAATGCTAGGAAGAGTAGTAACAATAATTGTCAACACATTAAAAATTTATTATATATAGAAATGTTTTAGGGAATTTAATTGTACTCATACTTCAGTTGCCTTTAATTCTCCTAGCCCTTTCCACATCTCTTTCATTGTTTAGGAATAAGTATTGCCTTATTTGTTTAACCTTTTATATAGATATGCTTCACGTCTACTAGATAAAAGCAGGAACTGAAAATTACCCTTCTTTCAACATGGAGTGAATAGCTAAGAACATAAGCTTGAATCCTGGGTCCACCACCTAACCACAAATATGAAGAGTAACATCCACCTGATAGGGCTGTCAGGAGGATTAAACAAAAATAATTCATTTATTGGAAAAACATTTAATGAACACCATGTTCTCATCAAAAGAAATATCAGAATAGCGGTAAAAGAGATAAGCACCTCTGCCCTTACAAAGCATACTTTCTTGTTAGAGTATTGCTTTCATTTTGGTTGACATCCCGTGTGTGTGAAATGTATGCAAAGTGCCTAATGCAGTCAGTGCTTGGAAGACAATGATCATTCAATAAATGTTAACTATTATCACTGTACCAATTACTGCATTGTATATATAAGAAACACTGAAAAACTATTTTTTGAATAAAGAAATATGTCCGAAAAGGACTTATCAATTTCATTTTTAGTTTAGAATGTATTAAGAGACAAATCCAGGTAAAATTGAAAGAAAATTTTTGATTCCTTAGACTAAAATTTTAAACACAGAGCTGGTCTCTCTACACAAAAGTACTAACATGTCAAACACAAGTATGACTTTTTTCCACTTAATCGAAAGGAGAGCTGTGTTTCTTTAAAGCCTTGCTGTACTTGCTTGACTCAAAGTATCCAAAATGACAAGGTTTCAGATTTATTTCTTCTAATGATTAATTATTCAATTTTATCTTGCTTCAAAGAGAGGGGCAGAAAGCAATGGGAAAAGAAAGGAAGCTAGTTCACAAAGTGTACCCCTAACTCTATGCCAGCCTGTGAGAGCCAGTTTTTGATCAAAAGAGGCATGTGGGACTGTGCATATGATTCATTGCAAAATCAAGTGCTAAAACCAGTACAATGGGGCAATCTTGACAAAAATGCTCAGTAAAATATGTATAAAATGCAAATTCCTCAAAATAATTAAGGATATATACACAAAACCAATGGCTAACATTATTCTCAACACAGAAAGAATGAAAATATTTCCCTTGTGAACAAGAACCAGACAAAGGTGCCCTCTATCACCACTCCTATTCAATACTGTAGGAGCTCTGGTGGTAAAGTGCCTAAGGCGTTTTACTACTAACCAGAAGGCTGGTGGATTTGAACCTCACCTACTCCTGGGAAGGACAATTGGGCACTCTACTTCCATAGTGATACTCCCTCAGAAACCCAAGGAGAGGTCACTATGAGTTGGATCTGACTCCACGCCAGTGAGTTTGGTTTGGTTTTTTGGTATTCAATACTGTATTGGAAGTCATAACAGCAATAAGGCAAGAAAGAGAAATAAAAGGCTTCCAAAATGGCAAAGAAGAAGTACAACTACGTCTATTTGCAGATGATATGATGCTATACATAGAAAATCTAAGACACTCATCAAGAAAACTACTGGAATTAATAGAAAGATTCAGCAAAGGGGCAGGGTACAAGATCAACATTGAAAATCAGTCTGATTCCTCTACTCTAACAAAGAGAACTCTGACAAGGAAATCAGAAAACCAATACCACTTACAATGGCCACCCCAAAGATGAAGTACATAGGAATAAATCTAACCAGAGATACAAAAGACCTATACAAAGAAAACTACAAAACATTACCATAAGAAACCTACATAAATGGAAGAATATACCATGCACATAGATAGGAATATTTAACACTGTGGAAATGTCAATACTACCCAAAGCTATCTACAGCTATAACGAAATCCTGACCCAGATTCCAGTATCATTCTTTAAAGAGAAGGAAAAACTAAGCACCAACTTTACATGGAAAGAAAAGAGACCCCAACTAAGCAAAGCATTACTAAAGAAAAAAAGAAAAGCAGGAGGCTTCTCATTCATCAACCTCGAAACCTACCATACAGCCATGTTAGTCAAAACTGCCTGGTATTGGTACAATGACAGACACACAGACCAGTAAAACAACTGAGAACCCAGAAGTCAGTCCATTCACTCATGGACAGCTGATCTTTGACCAAGGGCTGAAACCTATTGAACAGGGAAGACATAGTTTTTTTAACAAATGGTGCTGGCAAATCTGGATTTCCATTTGTAGAAAAATGAAACAAGATCCATATATCTCATCATATACAAAAACTAGCTCAAGATGGCTCAAAGATCTAAATGTAAAACCTAAAACAATAAAGATCATCAAAGAAAACACAGGGGAAAACTTAGGGGCCCTATTATATTGCATAAATACACTATCAAACATAACTAACACACAAACAGCAGAGGACAAACTAGATGACTAGGATCTCCTCCTAAAAATTAAGCATTCATATCCATCAAAAGACTTCACCGAAAGAGTAAAAAGAGAACCTACAGACTGGGGGCAGGGGATAAAAATGGCAATGACATACTGGACAAGGAACTAATCTCAAAATTTACAGAAAACTTCAACATATCAACAACAAAAAGACAAGCCATCCCATTAAACAATGGGCACAGAGCATGAATAGACAATTCAACAAAGAAGACATTCAGTTGGCCAACAAACAGATAAAGAAATGCTCACTGATCATTAGCCATTAGAAAGAAGCAAATCAAAACAACAAGATATCACCTCACCCCAGTAGTAATAGCAAAGTTCAAAAAACAGAAAACAACAAATGCTAGTGAAGATGTGGAGAGGCTAGAACCTTTATACACTGCTGGGGGGACTGTAAAATGATGCAACCACTATGGAAACTTCCTTGGTAAGTTGGAAACAGAAATACCATATGATCCAGCAATACCACTACTAGCTATATATCCTAGAGAAATAAGAGCCATGACACGAACAGATATATGCACAACCATGTTCTTCACAGCATTATTCACAACAGCAAAACTATGGTGCCCATCAACAAATGAATGGATAAACAAACTATGGTACATACACACAATGGAACACTACACAACATTAAAGAATAATGATGAGTCCACAAAACAGCTCATAACATGATGAAGCCTGAGGATATTGACTGAAATTAGTCAGTCACAAAAGGATAAATATTATATGAGACCAGTACTGTAAAAAGTCAAGAAAATGTTTACACACAGAAAGAAACATTCTTTGAAGGTTACCAGGGGTGGGAAGGGAAGGGAGGATAAATCACTAACTAGAAGGTAACAAGGAAACAATTAGTCCAAATGGACCACATGAACCCCAGCCTCCGCAATCTTAAATCAAAGATGAGGAAATTGAAGATTTTTACCAACTTCTGAGGTCTGAAATTGATCAAACATGAAATCAAGGTGCATCGTAATTATTAGTGATTAGAATGAGAAAGTTGGAAACAAAGAATTGGTAGTTGGAAAATATGGCCTTGATGACAGAAAAGGATGTTGGAGATCACATGACAGAATTTTGCAAGACCAATGACTTATTCATTGCAAATACCTTTTCTCAACAATATAAATGGCAACTATACACATGGACTTTGCCAACAAATGGAACATACAGGAATCAAATCCACTATATCTGTGGAAAGTGATGACAGAGAAGCTCAGTTCTTCACTCAAAACAAGGCCAGAAGCTGACTGTGGAACAGACCTTCAATTACTCATGCAAGTTCAAATTGAACCTGAAAAAAGTTAAAACAAGTCCACAAGTGCCAAAATAAGACCTTAAGTATATCCCACCTGAATTTAAAAACCATCTCAAGAAGAGATTTGACACACTGAACACCAATTATCAAGCACCAGATGAGTTGTGGGATGACATCAAAAACATCATACATGAAAAAACCAAAAGGTCAGTAAAAGTACAGGGAAGAAAGAAAAGACCAAAATGGAAGTCAGAAGAGATTCTGAAACTTGCTCTTGAATGGATAGTAGCTAAAGTGAATGGAATAAATAATAACAAAACAGCTGAAGATTTGAAAGGGTAGATCAAAAAGAC